ATGGCACCGCAATAGTCAACTAGTTACACATAGTATTTTTTATGTAATAGGAAATTATTATATAAGGTCGAGACTAGGTAGGTAAATAATATTTTTGACAATAGGACACGACGTGGTAACATATTATTTGAAATAATTTGTATTTTTTTTTCGTTGGTTTTGGTAATTATGTAAATTTGTAGTAGATTTTGGCTGACAATAATTTGGTTAATTATTTTATTTTTGTTTTTGTTTTTAAATAAGAAACTTATGAACCATATTTGAAACTTAAATATTGTTAGAAGAGATTGTCGCTCCAGAGGAGAGATCACTGAGTATATATGAAGGTGATAGAAACCTTGTACATTAAGGGAAGTTTCATGTTACAGGTGACATTGTCCATGATTGTTGCAAATGTGTCGTACAGGCCACACTTGTGTTTCTATATACTACACTATATGTCTAGAGGTATGACATGTGTCAGCGGCAGGTATTGCTAGGTAATTTTAGACACATTATTCGACGGGATGTCAAGGAGTCGGGATGACTTAGTTAGAACCATAGAAGGGTCATGTCTATGACGACCATTGTTATGTTCTCAATGGCGTACAACTCGCACGAGAGTGGGGTTGGGTTCATGTGGGTCCCGGACGGTTAATAGTCCACCCACAATATTATATAATCAGTCTTAACCTCTATGACTACAAAGTGTTGGTTAGTAGTGGCGTACTTGTGACATGTTGTGATACTATTGGTAACTTCATGGTTTAGTGTTGTCCTTGTATATGTACATGTCCCATAAGGATGTAAAGATACGTTGTTCTCAGGTGACTGACTCTCATTAGGAAACATCTCAAATCTATGTTGATAGGAACTTTCATGACTGTTTGGTGACAATAATTGGGGGAAGAAAGCAGGATATCCGGAGATGCACTGAACTGAATGTAGACACAATTCTGTCGACATCCCATACCCAGGTAGAGATACTTGACTCCAGACGTAGATATGTAAAGTAGACGTCTGTCATCAGGAAGTATCTGTCCAAAAGGAGGGGTGGATGTCAGGGTTCGCCCTGCTATGGGACAGTTCAGGATGATGATGATGAATCTCGTCATCGTACCCTGCGACCCTTAGTGACACTCAATACGTGCATACACACGTAGAAACGAGCATGAGCGGACTTCGCACGGGTGTGCACATTTTGGACCGGACGTTGAACGCTTGCTTGGGGGACTGCTAGGAAACTGGACGTGGGACGAGAGTGGATTTTTGACTGACCGTTTGTTTTTGACTTGAAGATAGGTACCAGCGTAGTGATTAGATGTAACGTGTTCTGTTCATAGTTTCATGTAAAGTAATAGTTGTAACTAGAAGCCAGACCATGCTTTGCTGGTGGCGTTAACACTGTCGACGCACTTAGGCCTACACATTGGCGCATGCCATAACGTCTTTGGCATCGAGATATAGCGGGTTGAGCTGGCACTGTACGGGAGAGTGGTAGCGGCTCAGAGCTTAATTCATAAACGTGTAAAGGCGCCTCTAAGCGATTTTAAAGTTAGACGCGGCCTGGGTTTTGAATAAGGAGCGCTACTCCTCCTGAGGTGTATCACCACTTCGTTTGCATCTTTGGTAATAAAGATTGTGTGTGTGTTGCAACAAGTGTTTGGCTTGAGTGTGTTTGTACGGTGTTTTCCTGTCATTAGCCTATAGCAGAGCCAATGGAATCGAGCCCTAGACAGTAAGGTTTCTGACAATTACCCACCACTGCCGATTGGTCTATAAAATATAGGCCTAGCCCTATACGCCCAATACGCATGAAGGCGTCGCAAAGCATCCTTTACTTTTACTAATCCCCCCCCCGACCCCTTAGACTAATAGCAGATAATTCTTCAGATTTTTTTTTTTTTGGTACAAAATGTCTTTTGCGGGCGGATTACCTCTGTTTTATAATCAGATAGATCCTGTTTGTGTACAAGTAAGTGCACATGTTCATGGTATATCACATAGATTTTTGTACACATTTTCGTTGTAGTTTTTTTTAGCGACTCGGTACTTTTGCATATCTATATATATGTATTCTACAATTTATAGATTCACATACCATGTTCGCACATTGTCTCAGAATGTCACCGTCGACTATGAGGTGAGCACCAGGATCTCTAGAGCCAGCTGCACTTTTGGCAGGTTATACACAAATGACTGGCATCGTAGTGGCATCAGTCTGCAAACCGAACTGAAGGTATACAGAGCTGCAGTGCTTCCAGTGCTACTGTATGCTTGTGAAAACTGGACTGTATACAGACGTCAGGCAAAAAGACTTTACTACTTCCATACAGTCTGTCTGAGAAAAAGTCTGAACATTAAGTGGCAAGACATGGTCCCGTACACTGTCGAACTGGGCAGGACTGGCATTCGCAGCATCAATAAGATCTGTTGCAGTCACAGATACGATGGGCTGGCCATTTTGTTCGAATGCCTGACCATCGGCACTCAAAATAATCCTCTATAGTGAGATACATGAGGGTTGACGTTCTCACGGGGTCCCCCCCCTCCCCCCCCCACAAAAAAAGCACTTCAAACACATACTAAAGGAATCACTGAAATCCTTCAGTATAAACGCTGACAAACTGGGAGGCTTCAACACAAGACCGGACTTTTATGGCGCACATATATCCGAAAATGTGGAACGATCTGAGAGGTATCTAGAACAAGGGCGGCTAAACAGCGAAGCCTGGTCAAAAAGAACCATCAAACAGGCTCGTTGTCTACAGATACTGTGCCCTGCTCTCATTGTCCTAGACTCTTCGGGGCACCTATTTGACTTATAAGTCACCTCCGGACTCACAAACTTTCAACTTTCACGACGGATGAAAGAGAGAGTTGTTCCCATCACTCGTGATGGACGAACGAACTTCAGTCGAACCGAAGTTTTCCCTGTGTGGATTCCGGGTAATCAAATAGCTCAAGAGATTAACATGCTAAATTATTGGGAAAGACAACAAGAACCTAGCAATTGACCATAGTTAAGGTTCAAGTGGAGATTGTATTTGAAGGCATCCACTTTAGTGTTTCCATGCTGAACGTACCCAGTAGGAGCTGATTAGCAAATCTTCTTTCTTTTTTCCGCGATCGGTTTCTTCATGTTGTCCTCGTTTGGTATTTCCAGCATGCTGTTCATTGTTTTGGCACAGAGGACCTTTGATAGGTATTATCACTGGTCACACTGTAATCTGGTAATCTGGTTATCTGGTAATCCTAGTTTCAGCTTCATATTAAACGGGTCACCCCACATATGCTCCGCTCCTGTGCCAACGAAAAACAAACGCAGCTCACAGTGTCACGCCATGCACTCAACTCAGAAGCTGGACGACAAAACTACATCCTTCCAGTCTACAAATGGAGCAAAAATGCAACGGCCACCGTCTGGCCCAAAAAAAAAAAAAAAAATAAATAAATATTTGCCACGGCTTTGAAAAAAAAAAAAAAGTAAAAGGTGGCCGTACCTAGCGTCCATTTTGACCGGAAGAATTATATGAGGGTTAATAAACGGTCACCCCAGCAGTACCCTCATTATTAGCTGGGGAAGGGACTTAGGACATTACATCCACCAGCAGGCGTCACCCCTACAACGACCTGCCTGCCATCGTTAACGACTGTTCACCCAACAGCTATGCAGTTCTTTGGCACGAAGGAGACACCTTGAACTTGGGTTACGGACTGCCGACTCCCTACTAAGATGTTATTTTATGTTCTGTTATCACAATTAATGTCACTGCACATTGGGCATACCCATGCGTGCTCAGTTCTCCGAAGCAGCAGCCACTCTAAAGTACTTCTACTAATTGTCCCCATGAGACGCTGGTTATATTGTCTCCTTTCTCGGCCTCGAAGACGGCAAAGACTTGCATCACCATGCTTAACTCCCATGTCACGCAATCGTGTTAGTGTCAGGGATTCCTCATTCTCCACTAGCCCAGTTCTTACAGCGTTGACTATGTCTGCTCTGTCCATACTTTTTCCCGCAATCATCAGTGCAGTGCTTGCCAGTTGGTCTGCTCGCTCATTTCCCTTCACGTCCGCATGACCCGGTGTGTAGATCCAGGTTACGGAGGTTAAGTGCGATTTCCTAATGCTTTCTATCCATTCAGAGCGCATACTGCGTGTTGCTATCTTCTGAAGCATATTCATTGAGTCTGAGACAATTACTACCTGTGTGGCGGTTTGCTCGGATACCCATGCTAAAGCTCTAGAAGCAGCAGCTATTTCCATTGTCATGCTTGACGTGGTTGTCTGGTAAGCGCCGCTGTCCTCATGTATTGTTTTCCCCTTTCTTTGCGCTGTGTATGCCCATGCTGACCTTGATCCGCGCTTCACGGATCCATCTGTGTAGATGATGGTATCTTCTGGGTCTGAATGCTGATCTATCAGTTCCCTTACTTCTGTGTCTACCGCCGCTGGAATTTGATCCCTGCATTACCTTCCGAGTGTGATAACAACCTTAGAGATGCCATGCATGTCTACTGGTGTATTCGTCCATTCTTTTCCGTGGCTGATCACGACTAGGTCACATACCTGCTGGATTAAGTCCTCAGCCTTTGCCATCCAAGAGCGGCCCCTTTTGAGACGCTTTTATTTTGTGTCGTGAATAGCTTTGTGTAATGGGTGGTTAACATCTGCCGATACCCTCATGTAAGCCTTGACCTGTGCCACTTTGTATCTGCTTGTCATAGTCGGCAGACCCAGGATATAACGCATGGCGTTGCAGGAGGTGTCTTTTGTGCAGCCGAGTATGAGTCTCATATAGTTATGTTTGAAAGGTTTGCAAAGACCAATTATCACATGTAGTACAGTGTTACTGCTCATGATTTCTACTGGTCACTTTGAATCGTTAGTGACAGAATTTCTTCGTTTGAAATCTCAGTAATTTCTGTGACAATGTGTCTGGCTATCAGCAATGGCGTTCTGGGACCAACCTTTTCTGAATCGTTTGTTGGTTTTTTTGGAATCATCTTTTGAAGACATTATCTGAACATATTTTGTAACTCATTCCGGAATTTAGATCCGGTTAAACAGTAGAGGAAGAAATTAATAGAGTTGTTTACATACTTTAACATAATTATTCCAGGACGTACAAGCAGTTGGAAAGCATCACCCTGTTGCCTTAACCAGTCAGCAAAAAGAAACAGTACCCTGACAGGAGCAGTCGTTATCAGAAACACCATGGTTACCGTAAACAACATAATTGTCAATCGTGATTGGTTATCCTGCCTGTCAGTTACCGATGAAGACTGATGCATGGAAGCTGTATTATTGGTAATCTGTTGCATGTTTCTCCGACGTAGCAGTACTCTCGTGGCAATACAAATGTTGCAGACTACAACAATAATTGTAGGGAGAAAACAATTCAAACATAAATCAATCCACGGATTAATATATTTAAAAAAAATAAGGTAATCATCTGAGACCATAGTGCAATTGATCTGTACAGACATATTATTGTATATTACTGTTCTGACTCCAAACATATAGAGTATGTGGCTATGTTGAGCAAATATAACCAACACTATACAAATTACAACAATGATAGAAGATCTGTGTGTGCAGATAACTTTCAGCCTGTGTGGAAAATACACGGACAAGAAACGTTCGATGGTGAACGCTACGAGGATCCAGGCAGAGATTGCCACAGTCACACGTGTCACCCATAAGTTGGTCTTGCAAATGGGTCCCGAAAAGGTCATGCTAAAAGTTGAAAAGAGAAGATGAAAACTGCATTACACATACAATGTACAAGATCCTGAAGACTATGGACAAATACTGATCTGATGTGTGTAATAAATAACAGATATATTAAGTGCATTATGAAAAACAACAACAACAACAACAACAACAACAACAACAACAACAACAACAACAGCAACAACAACAACAACAACACAGAAACAGATAATATTGATCTAGAAATGAGCTCATCCAAGGAACTGACGCCTGTTTTTATGAATGACTAGCCTCACCTGCTTATACTGAGTTTTTCTTTTTTATCACCAACTGAACCCCCGGAGAGCAACGGGACCCAGACCACACGTGTTGCACATTATTGACCTATTATGAACTTTCCTGCGGAACAGTAGTCCATAAGGTGACCATAGATCGCTGTTTGTCACACAGACGCCTTGAGCAAACTGGTGTACGTCCGTCACATGTGATTATGACGATTCCTTACCTCCACCAAACAAATGAAGTGGGTAAAAAAAAATGTCTAGCGAAGTAAATTTGTAGACATACGATCGCCATTGTCCAGCAAGCAGCAAGGCGAAACAAGACGTTTGGCGATAAACGCAGATGTTGGATGCCATAAGCCTGTTTTCTCCTTTGTACTGTTCCAGCTACAGATCATCAATAGGGTGACTAGTGCAGTTTTTTTTTAAGCATGAGTTAGTATTGTGCGAAGAGGGGTGTCAATTTTGCTCACCGGCTACCATCTGACATTGCTATGCCATTGGACAGAGAATAATGTTACAGGAGTAGACAGAAGAGTATTTTCTCCTTATTCTAGGGAAACGTACATGTGGCAAAGTTGCCTATCCTGGTCCTAGGGCATGGTCACCTAAGAGACACATAATAACTGATATCTGATTCCATGTGTCATTGTGTATATTCTCGTTTGAGTGTTATTAGAATCAAAATTGTCAGTAAAAATAACGCACTTTGAGCCTGAGAATCCATTTGTGCAATCAATGTTAATAAACGCAACATTTCATTGCGAACTTCTGCACGTTTTTATGTCCGTAATACCAAACGTACCAATGTGAATTCAGTACCCTTTTTGGGAGCTAGCTTGCTAAGTTCAGTTCCCAGATGAGGGAGTTTAGCAATCACTAGGTACCAGGCAGAGTCCAGGGAAGTAAAGGTGCCAGCGTGATGCTGACCACATCACCCATCAAGTGCCGATTGGTCTATAAAAGATAGGTCTATGCATATATGCCCAATCTGCCTAAAGACATGGAAGAAGAGACATTTGCATCACATATACTTTGTATCGCGGTGATTTTTTGGGAATAGGATAAAAAAGCAAGCAGAAACACACACACCAACATCGGCACACGTTAACCCACACGTATAAATACATAACTTTGACAGCACTTATTACAACTACGTGACAATGATCACTCATTACAAATCCAACGATTTATCTAGTATGTCTTAAGATATTTGGGAGAGAGGCTTTACTTCATTATTAGTTTCTGATGTGAACTCATTTATATCATTCAACTAAAGTCTTTAGAGAACTTAGGAAGTCTGCTTACATGTACATTCGTGTGCCGTCAACTTCAAAGAGAAACAAAGGCAGTAAGCCAAGATTAAGTGCTCCGGTGTCTGCAATAGCCAGGGTTATCAAGTAAACTGCAGCGTTTGAAGATCTCATGTTTCTCCTGCTCATCACAAGGATGGACAGAAGGTTTCCTATAGTGCCGACGATGATCAAAACTAAAGATACTGTCTGATGAAAAAAAAAAAAAAACATCCATCTCAAGTTGACTCATTAAAATTTTATTTGAAAAAAAATTAATTAAATAAAGAATCAGTGTGTAGAAATGATTGATAGTTTAGCTGAGATTAGGAGAAACAATTTCTTTTATGTTAGGAAACATTTGATTAGATTCCACGTGGAACGTTTGAAAACAATAAACAAGGTGCGAGATATAGTTGTGTACTATCGTCTGGTCTGTTCAATATCAATAGTGAATCAATAATGATGTCCATGAGATCATGCTACGAATAAGTGTTGTTGAGCATAATGTCAACAACTTGAGATGTAATGATGACTGAATTTTGATTAATGACAATAATTTTCAGCTGCAAGAAATCATCTTCTTCTTCTGTATCGAGTTCGCTGGCTGTAAACTCTAAAGGAAAGTTCTGGTTATCGTCCACCTCTGAACTTGAGTGTTGCGTGTAAATCCGTTTCATTGATCTGGGTTATCTGATGTATGTTATTTGTTCCTTGCCTCTCAGGCAGATACATTCCAGCTTCTCAGGCAGACCCCAGTTAGTCGACTCTTACGGCATGCTTGCTGGGGAGGCACTAGGTAAATTCTTTTGTCCCCAACAATTGGGCTCTCAGAAACCACACGGGAAAACTACGAGAAATGACGATAAGCATAACTGTAACAAATAATATTCACAAGACAATATGACATTTAGAAAGAAATAGTAAATGGGAAACAAATCGATACGTTTCGGTACTTACATATCCTGATAATGTCAGGCGAAAGATAAATTAAAGACGTTAACTGTAGAATAGTCACTGAAAAAAAAAAATCTTTCACGAGGAAACAATCCTATTGTTGATATGATAATCATGTACAATTAGAAGTTTATTAAAAATTTTTGAGAAAGCTGCAGAAATATGACTTTATAGACATATGATGAGAACACCATAAACAGATACAAATAATAAGGTGATCTACTCTCTTTGGCGTTCATAGCACTCTTTGGCGTTCATAGCACTCTTTGAAGGGAATAGCACTCTTTGGCGTTCTTAGTACTCTTTGGCATTCATAGCACTCTTTGGCATTCATAGCACTCTTTGGCGTGCATAGCACACTTTGACGTGCATAACACTCTTTGACGTGCAAAGCTCTTTTTGGCGTTCATAGCACTCTTTGGCGATCATAGCACTCTTTGGCGATCATAGCACTCTTTGGCGATCATAGCACTCTTTGGCGAGGTGTTTATAGCACTCTTTGGCGTTTATAGTCCTCTTTGGCGTTTATAGCACTCTTTGGCGTGCATAGCACTCTTTGGCATTCATATCCCTTTTTGGCGTTCATAGCACTCATTGGCGTTCACAGCACTCTGCGGCGTTCATAGCACTCTCTGGCGTTCATAGCACTCATTGGCGTTTACAGCATTCTTTTGTGTTCATAGCACTCTTTGGCGTGCATATCACTCTTTGGCGTTCATAGCACTTTTTGGCGTTTATAGCACTTTTTGGCGTGCATATCACTCTTTGGCGTTCATAGCACTCTTTGACGTGCATATCACTCTTTGGCGTTCATAGTACTCCTTGGCGTTTATAGTACTCTTTGGCGTTTATAGTAGCACCAAGAAAGTTGAAGGGGAAGAGAAGCATGGGGAGATCAAAAGAGAAGATGCAGCTGAATCTGGTATAGTTGCGTGAAGATCATCTGTGTCACACACACAAACACACACACACACACACACACACACACACACATATATATATATATATATATATATATATATATATATATATATATATAGGTTTTAGGTTAGTTGCGTATCCTTTACAGGACGTTGCAGAACCAACCCCCATCAGCCCCTTGCTGTTGTGGAGTTTCACTAGGCAAATTTACGTCCAGTAGTTTGCCATTACTTCCTGGACGGTCAGTTCCCTTATACCACTGTCAAAACCAACGCAAGGCGTATGGCCCACAGCTAGGATCGAACCCCGTACCCCAGGATTACGAAGCGTTCTCATCGACTTAGCCACAGAGCCGACTATATACATATATATACATATATGTAAACCTACATATATAGAACAAATATGACTACCAACACCATACTTTGAAGAAAGACACAGTAAGAATCATCATTCCTACTTGAATCTTATCTCGTAAATACCATAATGTTTAGACATCAATCTTGGTGTTATCCTCTTACTTTTGTCCAGTCACTTAAATCAATGTATACCTTCTACCATGTCATACAATTTTTATTCCTTAATGGTTTTTTTTTTTAAACGTATCCAGAAACCATGAGTTGTAAACCCTTTGGCTCGGTACTATGGATATCGCAACCCTTCGGCATTGATTCCATTATAGGTACCGTTAATCTGGGAAAAATGTGGCTTTTCTGCCTACCCCCGGGAGTGAACCCGGACCACAAGGAGTTCGTCACCCGGCCGCCGCGAAAGTCAGGTTTAACCAACTTCGCTAGAGAGCCGGGCTCCTTAATGGTTAAAAAAATGTGTCTGTTGATGTACCTGAAATAAACTCTCTCTCTCTCTCTTGCTCTCTCTCTCTCTCTTCCTCTCTCTCCCATCGTTCTCTCCCCTCTGCTTTTACCCTCTCTGATTTCTTTTTCAGAACTCTTTAAAATAAAATAATTCCTAGCCTCTTCAAAACTTTTTATTTTTAATTTTTTAATTCTAAAACCTTAAAAACAAACCCAAACCTTGTTTAATTGCATAAGTATAGGTTTAATAATAATAATTATCGTTATTGTGAGCTGAATGGCGAATGTATGTAACATGTTTGAAAAGTGATAATGTCTTGCCTAATTATGCAATAATAATAATTATTTTATTATTATTAGGTGCTGTACATAATGAGAAGTCTCTGCTCCCTAAAAGAAAGGGGGTGGGGGGGGGGAGAACTGAGCCCTTGTTAATAATGATGATAATATTATTACAAAGCTGAGAACCTTTCAAATATGATACTATACTTATTTGTCATTCAGCATACAATAATATTAATAATAGATAATGTTGTTACGCAGTTAAACAAGGTTTAAGCCGCCACTTGAGGTCCCGCTCCAAAGAAATTTTAAGCGACTGAGGCCTTAAGCAGAATATTTTTTCGTGGCAGCGCACCTGACTGTAATTGCAAAGATCACTTACCAATATGAAATAGCGACGGATCCTCCGCATTAGTTCAAAGTCATCAATATCCATCATCTACGATAGAGACAGTTGCGAACGGACGATTGATAAGGCCACCAAAAGCCAGAAAAAGTCAAGTTGTGTCGATCAAGACTTGTCCCCTCTGTAAATCCTAAGTTATAAAGATAAACCATCAAATCATAGTTAAACATGAAGGAATTAAATAACACACAGTTGGCGAATGAAAAGAACAACTGTTGAGCAAAGTTTATCGATGCACAAACAATAACAGTTACGGAAAGTAGCACTGAAGTTACACAGTGAAATTAATTGTCCATAATATGGACAAAGCAGAGCAAATTATTATTCCACGCATTAGAACAGGGCACAATCGACTTCGCAGCAACATGTACACAAAATTTAAGATTGGTGAATCAGACATGTGCACATGTGTATTGGCACCTGAGACAACAGATCCCGTCCTCGGAGACTCCTAAATCACGAGAAAACCTCTGGCCAAGAGAAACACGAGTGTGAGAGTGAATTTCCTACTAAAGAAACCAATGCAGATATAGAAAATATGTTTTGAGCGATCTCTTTCTAAGAAAGCATACTGAAATAATTCCAAATACAAACATTGTTGAAATTTGGAAACAGTTCGCAGGAAAAGCACATCAGGATTTCAAAGGAAGGGGCACTTAATAAAAATAAACAATATTAATTATAAATTATCAATAAATGAACACTGGAGAAATCTAAACGTTGGGCGGCACAATAAAAAGTGTCAAGCCGAAATTATTAGTGTATCAAAACTACGCACATCTCACAGTGCTGTCATTGGTCGAATCTGGGCTCATGCCTCGGTTGATACTTCTTGATTACAAGAGGACGCTCTATCTCACTATATACCACAAAAATGGAAGGCCAATATCTCACGTCACAAGCTGTTTTGGACACAAGATACCAGACAGTATCTGAATATGTACCAGAGAAAGAAAGGGCCAATTTTCCAAGTCCTAAGCTGTTTTGGGCATAAGCTGCTAGACTGTATCTCACTTTGTATCATAAATAAAAAAAAAAAATAAAAAAATTAATAAAATAAGGAACTTTTTTCCACGCTTCCAGGCGTATTGGATATATAATGGTACGTCTACACTTTATAGAAAAATTCGTACTTGATGAGCGACCTGGTCAACATCACACGGCCACCTTTACTTTCCAGGATTTTACCTGGTACTCATTCAAGGCAGGTTCGACCTGGGAGGTAACGTCATTTTTGATGAAGTCCGGCTCGGTTCGTATTTGAACCCTGGACCTTCGATGCATCAGCAGTCATCGAACCAACAACAGACTTAATATTCCAGAAAATTTCATGGTAAATACTTTAAACTGAGTTCACCCATTTTACAGATTACGTTAATTAATTTAAAAAAAAAAAAAATCCTGGATAGTAATATAAATATAGATCTATCGCATTGGCAGGCAAGTGCGACTACACCAATCATAGCTCACCTGAGATTATATAACCTTTATTATTTTCACAATCCGCTGTCAACACTTGCCACAAGATCCCGATCCCCGACAAGGATTATAATATATTTTAATCCAAAACTGTCTAATGCAAAACTGCTAGAGCAGAACGTTTCCACAGCGATTGCAGAATCCTGGCTAAACTAGTTACCATGTGTGAGCCCTCATCAACGCTAAAACCTGTTTATTTGCGCTTGTCAATACAAACGTGATTCATGTTTATTCAACACCAGAGAGTATACTTTAAACAAAAATATACTGTAAACATAATATAATACTGTGCAATCAAATTGTGCAGGATAAACCCAACACTCCGACGTGTAGTTTCGCCGCGATCTTCGTATCCTCGACGTCCGTGGAAAGGA